CGCTTCGTTAACGCGGAGAACACTAGGTTATTAATCCGCGTATCCATTGTGAAAAAGATATTCCACCAGCAACAGCGGTGTAATTAACAAATTAGCGAAGTGATGAAATTCTTTTAATGTAAACGCTTAATGTTTTAACTTCGCAGTTGTTCCTCGCGAATAAAATTAGTCATATATTTTTACTTGATTTTGTATCTGCGAATCTTTTGACGTGCATATAAATTTTCTCGCTAAAGCAGGAAAGAAAGAAAACTTCAAAAACTAACTCGTTACTATTTTTTTTTCTTTATTTCCTTGCGAAAACGATATTCGTTTATCTCTCACAAAAGAGTCCTCTCTTCCTCACCTCTTTTCCATTCGCCTGCAGGGAGTTAAGTCCATGCGCCTTCATTCGCGGGGAAAAAAAAAAAGAATATTAGGTCTGCATCCTGTGAATATACATTTTTCAGTGCGTGACAACGAACTTCCGTATGTTTTCCGGCAAAGTTCTCCGTTAGGAAGATTCCCTCGGTGGGTTGAAAAGGACACGCGAAGCTCATAGCTCCTGCGCGCTCGAAGGGGTTAATATTAAGGGCGCATTTGTACGTGTCGCCTCCTCGTGCTTTCTCCTTACCCTCCTTCTCCTCCGTGGTATCCTCCTGGACCGCTGGTGACCCGATTCCCGCCGATAACGACGCTGTGTAGAAGCATCTGCATAATTCAGCATTGCATGAAGTGTCCTTTTCAGCTGATACAAGCCGCTCTATCGGCTGTTTTAGTCTTCTAATACGCTTTAGAGGTCACACTAAACTCGGAATTTTCCGAAACTAAGTTCCTTCACGTACACACACCTAATCACGTGCATTAGATCTCTCTCTCTCTCTCTCTCTTTTGTTCACTTTTTATAAATAAATAAAACAAATATATATACACACACATATATATACACCGAAAAAACTGTATTCTTATTTTAAGGATATCTCACTTACTTTAAGTATATTTTATACTAAAATAGGCGCCAAGAAGAGTTTCTTATTTTAAGAGGAAAATCCTCCAAATAGTAATATTGATAAGAATATATACTGATTAGAATATAAAAAGCCTCTATAGAAAAACATATATATCTCACTATCNTATCGAAAAAGACTATATTCTTAAATTAAGAATATATTCTTAAATAAAGAATATATTCTTAATTTCAGAAGAATATCATCTAAAATCTTTAAGAAGATTTTTTAAGTATAAAATCTTCTACTTACAAGAATATAATTTTTTCGGTGTATATATATAAATATATGAAAACGCATGTTTATTAACGAATGCGTTTTGGTTTCTTCCTTCGTGCGGCTATGTGTGTATTATGGAAACGAAAGCGCAAACATAACTTTCTCCAAAACAAACAAAAAAAAAAAAAAGTTACGTGAACTAACTTTTAATTCGCGGAACAATAATCACTGGTCGGGAAAATTGCTTAAAAATAAATTGGAAACATGGCGCTGATAGTCTGTTGCTCGAGTTAAAAAAAAAACAACAAAAAAAAAAAAAAAGAAAAACAATTGTCCAAAAACTGCGACCTGGTTAACCCAGAAAACAGACAGTATGTGTTTTATTAAACCACGTTGTATGTTGTAATTTATAAATCGAGCATGTTCCTAGTTCCGGGTTTTAATCGCGTAACAGTTTTTAATTTCCATTCAAATTCGAATGGATTTCACGCACACCGTGCACATTCGCCATTTGTTCGCATCGGGAGTTTTTCCACGGTAAAAAAAAAAAAAGGAAAAAAAAAACAATGATGAGGTATCAATAGAAAATCTAAATTTTTTGTCTGCTAGCTTAAAATGAAACGCGTTTCACATCGAAAATACTCCACTTAGGTTAGGTTTGTGTGACTCGTCCTCCATTGGCTGTTTTTTTTTCTTTGACAGAAAAGAAACAAAATTGTCTAACGAGAAAGAGAGAAAGAGAGAAAGAGACTCGTTGCAGAAAAATGTTTTAATCGGTTAATTGTTGTCGAAGCTTCGGAGGATCTTATTAGAGCCGCCTCTCCCACAGACGCGAACAGTCCTTAAAGAACAATCCTTATCAATATGCCATTATGCGCGACGTTCCTCGTAATGACTTCTCTCGTCTTCTTTCGTTAAGAAACTGTGCAATTCATCTCTTCCCTGCGTTTCGAGTCCTACTAATTGACGACAAAGACGGGCTCCTTGGCTTCGGCCGTATCGTTACGACGGGAAGGGATAAATATGAAAATAGTCCGTCTGCAATTGAAGCACGTCCTGAGTTCGTTATTACGGGCCTCTATTTAACTTTCCAGTTGCCTGCTTCGCGTCCTTCGGGAACAGATTCTTTCCACTAAGAACGAATGCTCATGATTTATATATACATATATATATACGTATACATAAGACAGAAATGTGTATGTGTTTTGTTGCTTGTCCTGCAATCGGTCTTACGAAAATCTTTTAAAAAAGGTTTGTACGTTTTTATATTCTTTAAAAAATACGTAATCATATAATGTCTTGATTACGTATATAAAACATAAATAAATTCTTTTTGCGTAAACAATAAATCATTTAAATCAAGTATGTCGCGTGTTGGATTGTTCGGAAAGTTTTGTAAGCGTTTCCAATAGGTGGCATTACTATAGATAACAACATGTCACGAGACATGTACACACGAGACATAGCGCAGATAATAAAAACATCGAACAATATCGTGTATGAGCGTTTGTAGAAGCTAAATTGTATAAATCGATACGATAAGTACGCTAAATTTTGATTTAAGAAACGTAATTTTTCAAACAACTCAACCCGGTAAAAAATTTGTCATATATATATACTTATACGCAAATTAAAATAATTATATCTAATTATGCAAATTTATATGCCGAATATGTCCATACAATTTTATACACGGAGAATTTCTTTTTTTAAGATAATGGCTTCAGAGATATTCCATATCAAATTACAAAATAACAATATTAGTATCATGTTAGATACAAAAAAATTGTATAAAACTATATTTCTACTATATTTTGAAAAAATTTTTGATATATAATCATATATACTTATACACAAATTAAAATTAGTATATCTAATTATGCAAATTTATATACCGAATATGTCCATACAATTTTTCATATATACTTATACACAAATTAAAATAATTATATGTAATTATTTGCAAATTTATATGCCGAATATGTCCATGCAATTTTATACACGGAGAATTTCTTTTTTTAAGAGAATGGCTTCAGAGATATTCCATATCAAATTACAAAATAACTATATTAGTATCATNTTAGATACAAAAAAATTGTATAAAACTATATTTTTACTATATTTTGAAAAAATTTTTGATATATAATCATATGTACTTATACACAAATTAAACTTATTATATCTAATTATGCAAATTTATATATATATATACCGAATACGTTCATACAATTTTATACATGGAAAATTTTTTACTGGGAAGCGTTGTCTGTTTATAAAACATACGATTGAGTCGACGAAGATGCAAAATAAGAAAGAAAAGAGAAAAAAGCGTGAAAGAAAGATAGAGATAGAGATTTTGAAACGTTCTATATGTGTTTTCAATAATAGGTCAATTACCGCGTTGGCTATAAATTATCCTCAACTATTTCTTACGCGGTTATGTTGCGGCTGCGGCGGTAATTTTGACGCTTATCATTATGTGCAGAACGTTACATCGCGAGTGTAGCGTGTTAAAGCGGGGTTTCGCGAAGTAGTTTGGACCACAAACTCTGGATGTTCCACGCCGGATATCTACGCGGATAAATTACAGGCTAAATTACATAATCGAGTCGGAGCTTTTCGCGAAAGAGCGAAACCAGAAAGTAGAGTCATATATAGTGTTCGTTAACTGTAAACAGTAATTGCAAAGTTCAACACAGTTTTTTTCGCAATCGCCGTAATCGCTTAAAATGTGTGTAAATTTTTGCGCGTAACTTTTTCATCAAAATATTTTCAATCTCTGGTCAGATCGTTAATGTAAAATTTTGTGCGCCACAAAAGTCTCTCTCTCGATAGTCTTTCTTTCAAGTTCTCTCAAGCACCTGTGCTGTGCGTGCGTTTTTTATTATTGTTACGAAAAAACAAATCTCGAGGCTCGATATCGCGATGCTATTAACAAACAAAACAAAGTAACGTGACTCGAGCGTCTAAATCAACTCGATCCTACGTGGCAGAAGACAAACGCCGGAGATCCTTCTCACCTGAGCGAGCGGGAATTCCACCCCCGTACACGTACTTAAGAATTAGCCACACCCCTCGGCCAACTTTCCTCGCTTGGCGTCGTGCTCTCAGTATACCGCGACCTGTTATTTCACCATCGATTCTCGTTCCCTCTCGATTTTCACCGCGCGGCCACGAACGCGTCCAAAAATTCACCTTCTTCACCGTTCTCCGTTTTTTTCTTCTCGTCTACTATGCGCACGAGAGAGGACACGCGCCGTGCATTATATCTGCGAACTGTGTGTACGCCGTCGTGCTGGAGATATGCGAGCCGCTCTACTCGACAAGACAAACGTTTTTATTACGAAAAATCAGAAGGCGAGACGTGAAATCTAGGACCGTGCGCGTGCGCCCTGCGATCGGCCCCCTTTCGGAGAGCCGCGGGAAATCTCCTCGTGTGTTGCAAAGGGTAGGAAAAAGCGTCGAGCAATCAAGGGGGGCTCCCCCGTTTTCCTTCGCTACGTTCACCAAACCGTACAATCCACCATACGATCTACCAGCCAGCCAATCCCCCACTCTCTTTTTCCTTTTCTTCCCCTTCACCCTCCTTCTCTATCTTTCTCACTCTACTCCCCTTCCGCCATCAGCGCCACTCGTGGCGAGAATCCTCTCGCTCGGTCCTCTTCGTCGCTCCTCGTGTTTCCCTCCTCCGACCTCCAGCCCCTTCTCATCCGGTCCGTGTGAGAGGGTGGTTGGGGTGTTGTCGGAAGGGTGGAGGTGTCGGGCGCCAGTCGCTTCGCGGACGCTGAGCTCGAGTTTTCCGTCGTGTTTGCGAGGCTTTTTTTTTTTCAAGTTCTCTCTCTCATTGCTTCTTCTGTCATTCTTCGTATTTCGTCAATCGCGCGAGATCAGACAGTTCTTATAATACACACATGATACACACAATCTCTCTTGATCTATGTTTGTATTTTTTTTCCCGTGATCTCTCTTCCGTGTGAGGTCGTCAAAAAAATTCGGACGCAAAAAAAAAAAAGGGAATGATTGTTTTCGCGTGTGTATTTCGCTTCAAAACTTGCGTGATCAAAAGCCGGCGCGCAGTGCGTGGAAGGATGTAAAGATCTTGTGTCCTGTCTCGTGCGATCTCGAGGAATACTGGAAGATGCTACGTCTACGAGGATATTCGCGGTTATGGCGAACCGCATCTTGTGACAATTTTTGGGAGGTAAGTGTCGAAATCGGGGTCGGGATCTCGATCGAGCGCCGCTCGTCTCTTTAAACAGCCGGGCAGAAAACGCGCGTCTATCTTGCGGATATTTACTACTTCGAATACTGTTTTTATGCAAAAGACTGTGATTAGCTAAGTGTTTTGCGCGATCGCGGCAGAGATTGAGATGACCTCCAGCGAAAAGTTAGCTGGGATTTTTGCGTGGAAGCACTGAAAAAAACTAGCTTATACTTATTTGATAGGTTGCTTGGGATTTTTTGAAAAGAGGAGCAAGGGAAAAAAAAAAGAAAACAAAAGAGGAGGAAAGAAAGAGAGGGAGCATGGTGTAAACTTAATTGAGAGTTCGGTCGGGAAGTTAAAGAGTGTGCTGTGAACTTGATTAAGAAATGTTTAAAGAGCGCGAATTTAATTGATAGCGAGTTTAATTGATAGTTAGATGATTCGAGAAATGCGGCGGCATGAATTCAATTTCGTACGCGAGTTTGAATAGAAAAAGCGCGAATCGGCGTGTTGCGGCAAAAGAGGTTTTTACGCGGCGAGAGATATGAATTTAATCGCAAGTTTAAACGCGTACGAATCGAAAGAAGAACGGTTGTAGATCTAATTGTAGTTTTGCTCGCAGAAAACCAGAGAAAGAGAGAAAGAGAGAAAGAGAGAGAGATGTAAATTAAAATGCTGGTCCACACCGGGGTTTGAATCTAAAGAGTGCCGTAAATTTAATTGCAATAGGGCAGTTAAGCCATAGAAGCGGCAGGAAATCGTGACAACGCGCAATAATTCAGCCTAGAATTTGCTGTATCCACTTAGACATGCTTGACTTCGTCTCTCTCTCTCTCGTGTAAAGTGGCGCGAGTACCATTATACGGCGACCTTGTAGTCTGTTACATCAGTAATGAATCGAGTAGGCCGAGTAATGCTCGTCCGTTTTGTCGAAACTAATGGCGATGGTTGCCGAGGAAGTGATAAGGTAACACAGTCTTCGCACACACACACACAAACATACATACACACTAGAGAGAAAGGAACTTCTCTCATAATTTTTTGATTTCTTCTCTCTCTCTCTCTCTCTTTTTCTTGAAAATCTTTTGTACCAAACTAACGACGTAAATCGTCTTAAGTTGTAATTCTAAATTACAACTCTCTCTGTTTAAATTTTTTATTTAAAATATATACAGTATTCTTATACGCATAGTATTCTTTTGTAAAAAAAAACACTATAATTTCGATTATTTTCGACAATTCAACTTCTGTCGCAGAATTCGGTCTTCGTATAATCGGCGCGGGTAGAGTTCGTCGCTTCTTGCTTATCACGTCGTTACACAATCACTCGCTCGCGTCGTCGTCTCGACGCGCCCGTAATTTCTGTTACATCACGCTTATTAATCCGCGTAAGCGCTCGCTCGGCGCTTTTTCGTCTTCGCGTTTCCGCGCGCAATTACAAGTCGGAGAGCCGGCGTTTACCCTCCCCCCCGTCTCGCCAAATTCATCACTTGGTGCCGCGCGGAAGTCACGCAATATTCCATTCCTAGTCGTCGCGTGTCCGCCGCCGCCGCCGCCACCACCACTGCCACCGATCTCCTCGCTCTTCCGTCTTAACTTCGCCTGAGGTTTCTTCCCTTCGGAAATCGCTCGCCGGAGAGATCGACCGACGGGAGCTCTCTTGTTGGCAACGAGAAGAAGAGCAGTCGATTAAACGAAATTAATGGCTCCGCCGCGACGCCAGTCGAGGCAATTAGAGGAGAAGGATGAGGGGGCGAGGGAAAGGTGAGACGTGCTCTCGTCAATCCTCGACGATCCGGATTTGTGCCCACTTTTTTTTTTTTTTTTTTTTTTTTTTTTTTTTTTTTATCTTTGTGGCTGAGTGTCTTTTCTTCTTCTTTTCTCTCGGCGAATGTTTTGGGTCCTCGTAATGCATCTCCGCGAAAAGACGAATATGTGTGCAAACCAAAATGTAGAAACTTGTGATATCTTGGGGATTTGCAAAATTTAGGAGTTGTAGACGAAGGAATAGAAAAGTTGTATGTAAAAGAGAGAGAGAGAGAGAGAGAGAGAGAGAGAGAGAGAGAGAGAGAGAGTTATGGATATAGATTTTACCGGGTAAAAGCTTGCAGATTTGCGCATAACTCGCGATCTGCAACAAGATAGCGACGGACGTTAGATTTTCCGCGGAAGCTGAACGATTCACGAAATCTAATATTACGCGAAAAGAGACCGAATAGCGCAGCGGCGAAATTTTGCGAAGATTTCGCGAGAACGCTGGTGGATTCGAGCAGAGAGCTAAGGAATCTACGGAACCCTAGAATTTCCGGAACCCACTGTTGTTTGTGCACCGACGATTCGGTCCGCAGCTTATATATATACGCGCGGAACCTAGAATCTCGCCTTTAGATTTTCGCGAGATCTTAGAATTCTCCGCTTAGAATTCGAAAACGAGGTAAGATATGGACGCGACGAGTAGATATCTCCCTCTCTTGAAGATTTTTAAGATTCTACGTAATTAAGCCTTAAGATTGTCGTGAGAAAAGTCTTGTGTGTTCACGTGCGCGGATAAATGCGAACTCGAACCGCGCGTGATGTATGAACGGAACTTAATCTACGTTTGTTATTCACACGCGGATGACACTATTGGCGAGTAATCCATCGTGCGAAACTTTTGCGATTCATAGTCACGTGGAAAACTTTCCACTTTCGCGTGAGACGTGACGCGGGGGACGTATCGTGGAATCTCACAGCTCTCTCGAATAACCCCCTCCCCCCCCTTGAAAAGCACATCCCCGACCGACGACTTCGGCGAACTTTCGTGTAGTCGGACATAACTTTTTGTGTTTTTTTTTTTTCACCTCCAGATCGTTTTACATAAATCCTCGGGATGGAGAATCTCTGTCGCGAGCGAGTGCGCGCGACAGTTGTCGGGCATTAACGTTGCAAAATAGAACTTGGCGTTTTTTTTTCAATTCCGGTCGTGATCATTATAGTTTTCAAGCAACGATTCAACTTTTAATGAATATCGAAACGTAATATATCGAAACTTGATATCGGAATTTAATATTTAGAGTATAAAATATATGGAAAAATCAACACGCGGTACACAATTCCTGCGCGGAGAGTAATATTTAAAAATACGAACGCGAAAGATAAATATGCAGTGCCATTTTATTATGTTTAATTAAAACAAAATGGCAAAAAATGGTTATAAAAAATGTGTGTGTTCTTTGCAATCTTGCTTCCGTTTGTTCTTTTCAACAAAAAAAAAAAATAGAATGCCTTGTCAAAACGGATTTTTTAATATTAGCGCGTTCGATCCGAGATATATGTTACTTATGTAATTGTTTCGAGCGCAGAAGTCGTGAAAACGAGACTCGGAGGTTTGTAACCCTTAGTAACCCGAACCAGTCCGACTGCGAGCGGGGGTTATCGACCAAGTGGTGGTCTGGTTTTTCGGGCCGGCGACTCGGCTGCGGGGTGTCGACTTTTTCCACTTGAATTTCCGTCGGATTTTGACACGCGCAGCTGGCTAGGTAAACAGAATTTATCGATTTCTTTAGTACATTTCCAGTTCTCCGAGGGCAAAATGCTGTCAAATATAATTGCTCCGCGCCGAATCTCTTCTTAAGCAAAAAGAGTAATGGAAATAATAGAAAGTATCGGAAGAAATTGGAACGTAGATTTTTATATAGGTTGTATATAATTTAAAAACACAAGTATTTTACGAAAACATTTAAATCTAGAATGAAGAAATTTTCTCTCTCTCTCTCTCTCTCTTCAAAATATAATCTAATATTTACAAATAATTATTGAATATCAAGTGGAAATATAGCGAGATAGCGGTAACAAAATCTGATCGAGCCAAAATTAATCATAACAGGGAGAAATGTATTCATAATAATATTCACAAACAGTAATAATTAATACTGATGGCGTGATAATGATTAACATAAACATCGATTGCGAAGAGATAACTAACCGACCGTTCGTTGTGTTAGCCAGCGGTTTTACATTAGTATTAAATTCTATTGCTTTGAAGAGTTAATAATACTTACAAACAAGTATGTTATAACATCGGAAATCACAACGCGTTATGGGGCTAGTTAATACGTACTTTGTCCCCCGTCGGGGATCGCTCTTTTTTAACTCGTTCCGAACTTTCTCAGTCTTTCGAAATCCTAAACGAGGATAACGAAAGTTGCGCAAACTCCTGGAACAACTATTCCCTTTTAAGGCTGAAAGAAATCCCGGCGAAGAAGAGTTCGTCGAAAGACACATCGAGAGATCGAAAACGGGAACGGAGATGGAAATCCATTTGTCGGGGGGGGCCGCGGCGCGACACAATCCCGCGCCATAGCGCGATACTCTTTTTTTTTGCCCGAGACACACCGTAGAAACAACCGCGCGCGCGTAGAAAATACGACGCGACGTAAAATATCCGTTGTTACCACCGCGCTTCTTTCACATGTAAATTTAGCAGGACGCATATAAATTGCGTTGTTACACGCATTGCCAAGAGATTTTTCTTTATACCGGCAAAAAATCTCATCAATGAGAGATCCTGAGACGCCGCTTGCTTCTCAAAGTCGCGACCGTGTGTTTTTTCATTATTGCGCGAATTACACGCGCGCGCGTGCGAGTAAACTCTTGTTACGTAAGTTTCATCTTAATTTTATTTTCCGTTGAATTTATTTTAATTTATTTTCATTTTTAATGATTCATTTTATTTCATTTCAATTTAATTTTTGTTTTTAATTTTTATTTTTTATTAATAACTTCTTTTACTAGTTTGGATTATAAAGTTTCTCATCAAGAATTGTTTTCTACTTTGATCTACTTTGGTCTATCTCTTAACGTCATCTTTGTTACTTATTTGTATAGATTCATTGAGAAGAAGACTCTGTAACCACAGTCGAAACGTCTGTACCAATTCTCTAAATAAATCTCAAGTTTACGAACACACTAACTATATTGTGTTTTGGACTCCTATTTGTCAAATTTTCTCTTCAATT